CCAGTAGGGTTGTGGGGCGTATTGAGAACGATGCTGAGTAGTTCGAGACACTACTGCTGGTGGTGAGGAGTAGGGGTACCTTACATCTAACGCCGCCCTCTCGCAGCCTGGCCTCAAGCATATCCCAATCCACATACCACTTGTCGTCCTCACCTTCATAGAGCCTAAAATGATGGTAGAGGAAGGAATGGAGGGGGAAGTAGGAGGAGGCCACCTGCAGTATTTAGTATGTAGATAGTAGACGGCGGCCTGGTTGGGGTAGATCTCGTGGAAGGGCTCGAAAATAAGTATCTACACGATATGGCTGTCCAACCTCTGTAGTAACAGTAGTACTAGTAGTACTAGTAGTAATAGTAGTAATAGTAGTACTAGTAGTACTAGTAGTAGTAATAATAATATGGTCTAGTTCAGTAGCATGGCATCTACTGTGTACAAAGTATGGCAGTATTTCTCCTACGCTCTCTTTAGCGGCCACTCAGCACCACCACAACAGCACCCCGAGTCCGTGCGGCCCTCCCCCCCCCCTATAGTAGTACTAATACCTACCGATTCGCCCGGTTTGCATATAGCCCTAAGAGTGCAAGCCATTGACTCGGTAGCCCCAAGACACACGGTGAGCTCCTCCTCAGGGTCCACGTCGAAATTGTAAAAGTGATGGTAGTACTTAGCAATCTGAATACAACAGTATAGGGCCTCTACCCAAAGGCCCCTCCCTCCCTTACCGATTGCCTAAGGTCAGTCCTGCCATAAGGGATAGCATACTGGTTTAGTTCATCGTTGCCCGACATGGAGCCCTCCACTGCTGAGAGCAAGGAGCTCAGCGTAGTACTACCAGCCTTGACCAGGGGCTCTGAACATGCTGTAATATTCACAAGGCAGAGCTGAAGTCCACATCTCACCAACATCCAGAGACTTCAAGGATTGAGCATTATCGGAGTTACCACCGATAACAGCTCGTACGACTTGGTCTTTGACCGCAAAATCGGGAGACTACGAAACACCACCGAGTGAAACACATGTGCACTTTAAGGACTTACCTCGTTGGGAAAGCCCTGGGCCAAATTGACAGCACCGTGTTGAAGAGCCATTCTGGTCATACGCCTTATCTGGCTCTCTGTGGGTTGGACCTCTGGCAGAGTGGGAGCCCCGTCCTTACCGTTGATGAAAGAGGGAGTGCTGGTAGTCATAGTAGAAAACAGATTTGTGCTTTAGTCACTAGAAGTACGCAAAAACAGGAGGGAGTGGTAGGGGGACAACAGCATTGTGTGCGTGCATCATTGACATGTTTCAAGCCTTGAGCAAGTGAATGAACTCTCTGGTGGCAATGAGTCGGCAGCAGGCCACAATACTCCTACTAGGCCAATCAATGAGGAAGAAGTCGCTCATCCGACCCTCGGTAAAGGCCAGTCTTCGTATGGCCATCTTTACCAGTATACTACTGTACAGATTCACTGTTAGCATCACGACACGTGAAAGGCCTTGACGACAGCTGTGTTGCATTATGCTAACGTCCTTCTTATCCCAATAGTCCAATACGAAGTCGGCCTCACAAGGGCCCTTAGCGGGCACTGGGATGGGGGAGTTAGCGGGAACTACACATATCTTCAACCGTGACTTCAAGGCATCCTCGCATGATTGAGGAGTAGCAAACAGTCCTTCCCAGTCGCCTCTATTTACGTGATCAGGAAGGATCTCATTCAAAGTGGTGACAGTTTTGTCGCCTATTTTAAGGCTGAAAACAACGTACCGTTTTGCATGGTCTACTCGCCCCTTCTCACAGTAGTCTGTGAGCCAATCGTACTGTGCCGGATGGTCGCAGGTTCGATTCCCGGCAAAGGAAGGTACTAACTTCACTTCGATAAGCTTGCTCATTATATGAACGTCACCGTCATGGTAGAGGTCCTTTTTGATCTTGGCACAGCAAGGATTACCATCGGACCACCAGTACTCCTCAGGATGGGACCTCACGTCGACCCATGAGGGCACTCGAGGGCGATACCCAAAAGTGCTCTTCTTCGTAAAATGGCTAAGTCGAAATACATTGGCAATCCTCATCAGGCCAGAAACCGTCTCTTTCGGTAGACCATCACCAGTGCTGACTGAACCCTCAGAAGAGGCTATGCGTTTACTTCGCCGAGGGAGATCGGCCTTGCCACCGTCACAGCTCTTTGAGGGTGCCTTTGTAACGCTGTGGTCATTGGTATGGTTGGAGGCTCGTTCGCCGAGAAGAGAATCCGGATAAATTTCCGCCCGAACGGTATGTACTTCAACGTTCTCAGCCACCTCACTAAGAGTGTCTACTATAATATCATTGTCCCTAGAAGAGTCCCCTTGGCAGACCTGAGGCCGCGTACAGTTCGATAGTAACAGCATCGATGAGAAAACAAAGGTGGACTAGAAGGGAAAATGACGTTTCAGAACGCTCAGCATGTTGGGGCTTAGATGGGACCCTCAACACAAATGGGAACCCCCTTAGATCCGGGACGGAGAGATCAACTGAAATTTCGGATCCTAGAGCACTCGTAGGGACAGGGACATCGCTCCACGGCGGAAATTTCTTTTTCCAGCTCGCAGACCCGGGTTCGATCCCTGGCTGGTGCATTTTTGTTTTTCTGATTAAATAATGAGAGCTCAACATGGAAAAATTCCAACGCACGATGGAGGGTCTTCTCTTGTAGAATAGAAATTTTTAACGTAGATAACTTCGGGGTAAAAATATCTCAGAAATCACATTTTGATTTTGTCGATACGGACTGCCACACTCCAGACCAATACGGTCGATATTAGCATCACCATGTGGTTTGGAAAACATCACCGTTGTTATCGTACTATACCCCAGCCCATCAGAGTTTCCACTTGTACTAGGAGTCATGGCCTCCAGTGCCTCTACAACTACAGCTGCTGGAGTAGGTCTGCCTTGGGTGGAGAAGTACCGCCCAATTTCACTCTCCGATGTGGTTGGCAACGAGCCTGCAATGCAAAGACTACGGTAAGTGCTGTTACTTATACTGAGGGCTACAGTATCTTCAGGGCCATGGCTGAGGACCGGCACATGCCCAACCTACTCCTCTCGGGGCCTCCTGGTTGTGGGAAGACCACCAGGTGAGATCTCATTACGGGTGTGGTCAATTAGCCCCATGCCTCTTAGTGTGATGTGCTTAGCAAGGGCCCTGCTGGGAGAGGACCTAGTCAAGACCGCGGTACTAGAGCTCAATGCCTCTGATGATAGGGGTATCGATGTGGTAGTGATGAAGAAGGAATGGTATCAAAAATATCACACAGTTATGTTGTAGGTTCGCAACAGAATCAAGACGTTTGCTCAACAGAAGATATCTCTGCCAGCTGGGGGGTGTCAGCAGAAAATTGTCATCCTGGATGAGGCCGATTCGATGACCGAAGCCGCTCAGCAGGTCCTCAGCTGACCCAGTCTCTCGAGATGAATCGGGTGGTGTCAGGCTATGCGGCGGACGATGGAGATACATTCGGCCACCACAAGGTTCGCCTTGGCCTGCAATCAAAGCACCAAGATTATAGAGCCCATACAAGTAGGCAAGGGGCTGCTGCTGCAGCTGTTGTTGGTCATCCTCTACTGTCGTTAGTCCCGATGTGCTATTGTGAGGTTTAGTCGTCTGAAGGACTCGGACATTGAAGCCCAGGTGAAAAAGGTGGCAGATAGTAATGCCTAGGGGGGATGGACTTCTAATGGCGACAAGGCGTGTTGGTTCAGTGGAAGGGGTACAGCTACGAGGTGACGGTTTGGAGGCCCTCATTTTCACGGCAGAGGGGGATATGCGCGCGGCATTGAACAATCTTCAGTCTACTGCGACTGGCTTTGGTGTCGTCACTAGAGAGAACGTGTTTAAGGTGACCTGTGGTGGTAGTAGAGGAGTTAGTGTTGGCGATTATGACAGGTTTGTGATCAACCACAACCAGGCGAGCTTAAACAGGCGACGCTGGACTGTGTGAATAACGATTGGTGTAGTGCCTTTGATAGGCTCGACAAGATTACTGCACAGGTGGGGTAGCCGTTATGTCATCACCGTCGGCTTGATGGCTACTGCAGGGGTATAGCATTGGAGACATTGTTGGTACCTTGGAGAGGGTCATACGAAATCTGCCACCGGAAGAGCTCAACGAGGCTATCAAAATCGAGTGATGCTTTGCTGGGCGGCGGTATAGAGAACGATTATTATGGCTAGTGTTGTGACCCGTTAGGTTTCTGCAAGCAATTGCAATGTGTAGACTACGTATGAGCGAAGGGCTGCAATCACGTGTGCAATTATCAGGTAGGGACCTTTGAAGTCGTGTCGTGGACGGTCACCGGCTCAGGACTAGTCGCAGCGATGTGCGCGGCATCGGATGATCTGCACCAGAGGCAACAAAGGGGAGCATGAGGACTCCTTCGAGTGTAATGAAATGCAACTTTTTCCAAGATTTGGTAGAGCTCGATTTTTGTGTTGTGGATGACTGTTGTTGGTATGGCTGTAATAGTTTACGTTTACATGCCAGTGTTGAATGCTTTGGACACGCCTTTAGAGAAAAGTGAGGAGCCTCTGGAGAGGGAGGTGATCGATGCTGAGCTGCAGAGGTTGTTGGAGGCGAAGCCTGCCCAGATGGTGGGTGTTGCTCGGTCGTTCACGAAGTGGATTTTTGGTTTTTTATCAGTCCTATGATGAGTATTTGAAGTGGTACGTGGCAGTGAAAAACATCCAACGCTTTTACCGATCGCCCGTAATAGAGCCTCTTATGTTCATCGAAGGATTCACTGAAGAAGACCTTGAGAAGGCGGTCGGAGGCAGTACACGGCAACAAGGGGTGACACGCGAGTTGGATAATAAAGTAGTCGTCAGAAGTAGCTTTGTTCGAGTTTGGATACTCCTGTTTAGAAACTGCCAACAACGTCAACTTCATGGTCTTCATCTGCCATGGCCACTACAAGTGGATGGTCATCGTCTACTGTTCCCAAGCAGAACCCGCCCTCGACGGCTTGGTCATCATCTACTGCAGTGACATCGACATGGTCATCTGCGGCGGCAACTCAGTGGGATACGCTCGGTGTTGGCCTTTGGAGTTGCCTCCTGTTTGTTAGGTCTTCGTCTTCCACGAATGGATGGTCCTCAGTTTCGTCGTCGAGTGCTGATAATAGTAGTCGCACTGGTGGTGTGTGGTCGTCCTCGTCGTTCCAGGGTGGCTGGTCCAGCAAAAGATGATGATATTATTCGCGCGATCAACGTATTGTGTTGTGTTGCACTCCACCAGTTGGGGAAGGGGTAAAGCTGAATGTTGAACAAGATGTAATTAATTCTGCACGCATGCGCATGCATCCTCCAATCTTCGTTCGGGTGTAGTCCGAGACACATTATTAGAAGCTGAGAGGTTGTTTAAAAAGGTTAGCTTGAGGCAATAGTGCTGATACGCACGGCCTGGTGTTGGTTCAGTCCAGCCCTGTGTGCGTAACTGTCCTTGCTCACACAATCAAGTTGAGTAGTTGTAATACTGTGGTCACTATAAGTGACCACGATCGATATTGGTGATATTACAATTCAAAGCTTACGTCTCGGTCAAAGGTCGTAAGGTCAGAACAGCACCACGAATGCAATGAACCTAGTTCGTAGAAGCATAACGTACGGAACGTGATGTGGTGTCACGTTCTCGGGCGAGCGAAATGTCCAGATCCGATGTAAAACTGTCTACTTTATATTGGGTTGAGAAATGTCAAGCGGTCACAGAAGAGCCAAAGACACAAGTGAACCTAGGGTCAGTTTCAAAGGTCTACAGGTTTCTGGTCAAGCCACTTGAGGCTTGGACTTTGCTCTGATCATGAATAGTAGGCAGAGACGTTTTTGCTCGTCAAGTGTTGTGCCCGAATGGAGTCGTTGTGGCGGTGTTGCTAGTGTCGCATTTCCGACCTCCTCACGCATGCCTTTCTCATGCCTCGGCAATTTTATGAAGGTTACTTGCGAAGTTTTCAAGACTAAACGTCTTAGCTCAGTTTCTTCGATATCGACGCAAGATTCAGATGGGTAGGTATCTTAGGTTCAAGCATGCAAGATACGGAATAGGCCCACATGAATACCATTCTCCGCCTAATCCATCGAGCTCGGTGTAATTTTTTAGCTTTTTAGTTACTCGTCGTGGGAGGCTGTTGAGCTCGAGAAGGCAGTGACTGATTTCAACTGGGACATCTTCGACTTCGTCGATGGCTTGCGGGATCCAACCGACGTATTGAAAACGGTGGGGATATTCTTATTCAAACGGGCCGCGAAGGATCTGCAGCTCGACTGGTGAGTTTCCGACTTGTCTTCTGCACGCATGCACATGGATGTATTGTATCGCAGGTATCCCCGAGCTATGAAGTGGCTGAGACTAGTCCAAGACGCTTACCAAGATGTGCCCTTCCATAATGTTGTACATGCTGCCGATATTGCGATCGCTCTGCATCATCTACTTGAAGTTTTCGAGCGATCATTCAACTTGAATGCATTGGACCTCATCGCCTGTTACTGTGCCGCACTGGCGCATGATGTTTATCACCCGGGTTATTCCAATCGGTATGTGCTCGCTTTTTGGGGTATTAAAGACTCTTCTGATACGCATCCTCTGGAGACAATACACGCTCGAGAGGCGGTCCGAATGCTGCGAGAAACGGGCATGGCTGAGCTCCTAGGTGGTCGTCGTGTAGATCTTATTCATCGTATGATCATCGCTACTGATATGCAGCAACACAATATGTGGGTAGAAAAGGCGAAATGCCTGGACTCCCTATCAAAAGACGATCGTCTGTGTGTTATGCTGCATGCAGCTGATATATCTAATCCTGCCAGGAGTCGATCAGTGATGCAGAAATGGTCGATACGATGCATGAGGGAGTTTTGGAATGAACGGGATCTGTTTCTGGCCAAGGGCGTTGATCCGCCTTCTACTCTGCCTCCTCGGGCGACTTCAAACGTGTCGTTGGCATCTGCTCAAATTGGCTTTAGTAAGTTCTTTGTGAGGCCACTACTAGTTGCCATGTTGGACTCGAAGTCTTGGGATTGGATTCAAAATATAGATGATAATATTCGCACAAGGGAAAGTGTTATAGAAGCCTATTGCTGTGAATAAATCGTGTATTGCTCGCTACGGCGATGTTGATCATGATTATCAGTTGCCTTTTAGTTTGATGAATATTCGGTTTTTTCTCTCGCTCTCACATGAGCCTGTTTGAATAGCATGGTGTTATTTCTTAATCGATGTTATTCTCTCCAAGCTGTCTATCTGTCAATGGATCATTAATAGAGCGCACGTAGTAATAGTAGTAGTATCACCCCTTTGCTGTTCACATCATCATCATCATCCTACTAAGTTATTTGAAGTCTTCCATCACCACGTTTGTGTACTACTACTACTCGGTCATTGATCCATTCGTGAGGGCGTCCTCCTACAAGAGGGGTGTTTTATTATCGCTCTTTTCGGATACGCCCTCTGTAGTCGTTGTTGTTATAGATCCTGCTACTATTGCTGATGCTACTACTGTTGACCAAGTTATGGTAGAGCTGACCATCGTTCACATGTTTGTAATTGTCATTAGATTCTCGGTTGTGTTGGGGGGGGGGGGGGGGAGTTATCTGTCTCCAGGGATATTGTTCTCAGCCAACAGACGTATATAAAAAGTAGTAATAGTGAATGCCTTACCCTAAGGTGAAGGAGTTGTGTAGTATATCAGGGTAGTACAGGGGGGAGCACTACTAATCTTGGATTTGGTAATCTCAGGCCATCGTTGGAGCCTAGTTCCCTGCCGAAGTTGTCAACATTTATATCACCAAATTTCGACATATTTGATTACGCGGCGTCGCACTACCAGAATAGATTCGATATTCTTCCTGTTGTGGCGATGGTAATTTTTGACGATGTTCTCGAGACTATGGAGTTGGTGGAGGAGAAAAAGAGGTGGGGGGATGGTACGGGAGGTGGATTCATAAAATCTGAGGAATATTTTATTTACCGTAATTTTGGATAATTTCTAGTGGCTATGCTCTATGTATTTTCATAACATACATGTGTATGTTTATCGATTCTTCGTTGAGTATGAATGGTTTCTGTTAGGAAGTTGCGCATCGCACTGGCAGAGTATTCTAAAGCGGTGACGTGGGAGTATAATGCTGCTCCTTTTCACAACCCTATCCATGCTGCTGATGTCACTCTTGCCTTATACGTATTGATGCGGGATAAGGAGCCTCGCATAGAGCCCTTGGTAGCAATAATGTGCTACTGTGCAGCGCTTGGGCATGATGTGAATCACCCGGGTTACTCTAATTGGTATGCAATCTTCAACGGTGAGGGGGATGATCATGATACGCATCCTCTGGAGACAATGCATGCTCGAGAGACGATTCGGTTATTGGAAGAGTCTGGCGTGGCGGAATTCTTTGGGAAGGAGGACCTCGAGCTGATCGAGAAATTGATATTAGGAACGGATATGCAAGTGCATAATATGTGGATAGAAAAAGCAAGGGAGTATGAGGAGTGTTCTTTAGAGGATCGTCTTTCGATACTCCTCCATGTTGCTGATTTGTGTAATCCTTCGCGAACGCGAACAGCCATGGTTAGATGGTCAGCGGTTATATTGGAGGAGTTTGGCCACGAAAGAGATCTGTTCTTTGCAGCGGGGAAGCAACCGCCCTCGTCGATTCCACCTAGAGCGGATTCGACCAAGGCGTTCCTGGCGACTCAATTGGGCTTCTTTAGAAAAATGATAGAGCCTCTGTACAAGAGCTTTGGACCTTGTGGGTTGACGACGGGTTTAAGTGAGAATACTAGGTCTAGATGGCAAGGCTTGGCGTTATATGAGGCGGAGGAGTTAAATCGGAAAGATATTTGTGTTGGAGAGATGGGAAGGTTGCAAGCGTCGCCAAGGGGTGGGGTGGTGGTGGCTGAGGGTATCGCTGAGGAATACATCTCCGTCCTTCCCCCCCGATCTATGTTTACTTCTATAAGACTAGATAACAGCTCTAGGAGGCACTCAGCGCCGATGTGAGTTTACTTGCTGAGTGCCTTTGTGGATTGGAGTCTCACCACTCTAGTGAAAAACATATTTCACGACTACTGCAAGGCACGAATATCGCGTAAATCACCGAGTTTTACGCCACTCCACATAAAACGGATGAAACTTGATCATTCTGTCGATTAAATGGTAGCATTTGTAATATAATTCACTCTCTTCTTTGTGTGAGAGCACCACTGTTTTCGCGGTGGTTTTTATGATTCCATCGTGGTGCGTGGTCATCACTATTTTTGCAACACTTTTTCTACAGAGGGTATAGAAAGGCCTTATGGCACTTCTCAATCACTTGAAGATTTTTTTCCAATAGTTTCCTTTCCTCGAATGCTGTTTGTATTGTTACTACTAGGGGGTAGAGGCATAAGAAAATGAAGCGGTTGTTCCTGGAAACATGAAACGCCCTAGTTCGGCTACTACTACTTCCCCGAAGAGCGCTGTCGGGGTTGCAGACAATATAAGAGTGGCAATTCGATTGCGGAGCCACCCGCATACTATGGGGGAGGAGAAGAGGCCCATGGTCGAAATACTCAATGCTACGGATGTCCGAGTTACGGTAATGAGCGATCCTACTGTTCGCGAGTGTGGCATCACTCAATTCTTTGCATTTTCGAGCGCTGGATTTCCAGAAATTTTTCTTTTTCTTGAGAATGAACTCGAATTTGAATTTTAAGTTTCTCTCCATAAATTCGACGAAATTTTTCGAATTTTTGTCGTCCTCTCCTGCTCAGATGCAACGCGGAGGAGAGCGGCACTTCAGCTACGACTTTGCGTTCGACAGCTCCGACCGTTCCAAGCGGAAATACGCAACACAGGAAGCAGTGTATGAGAAAGTTGGTCACACCATTCTGGATAACTGTAATGAGCTCGGGAGGCGTCCCTTACTGGGCACCTCGGGAATATCAACTCAACACGGAAGATGTCTGTATTATGTAGGAGAATAGGAAAAAGTACTCTAGGGTGTTTTAGCAGAAAATTCACAGCTTAGCTCAGTAGTGGGACAGCCAATTGTGTTAATTACTGCACCTCCACTGAAGGTATGAAAGGCTTCAACGGTTGCCTTTTTGCGTATGGCCAGACTGGTTCTGGCAAGTCTTATACGATGGCGGGTTGTGATAAAGAGGAGGGCATCATACCCAGGATAAACAGGGCTATATTCAGCGCGGAGGCTTCAGCTAGGCTACAGCAGGTGAGAGTGAGTGGAAGAAAATATGCACATGATGAACTACATGTGTTGGTGAGGACATGGAAAAATTGTGAGGAAATTTCGGGAAAATTCTTGGTGGTTTTTGCACATTTCTGCCGGAATTCATGTGCAAATTTCAATTATTAGTGAGAAAATTTCCGAGGCAAGCTGACATACCGGGTGTCCTCGAGAAAAATGTGCTTTTTTGAACGGTTTCGTGCAAGTTGAATTTTCAAGAAGTGAAATAACAGCAAAGTGCGACCTGTGCTATTATGAGTGATTTTTGGAAAAGCGTAAAATTTGGATTTTTCGCGAACCTCAGCGAGCTTTTGAACGCCTCCAAAAACCACCTGAAAGCCCTTCGCAAGCGCCTCCGAATGGTATCAGAAATTCCTGAATATTCAACTCGCATTTTTCTGGGGATATTCTGTATACCCCAACACTGTTGAGGACTTCCAGATACGTGTGTGGGTGTCCTATCTTGAGATCTACAATGAGCACCTTCACGATCTTCTCGCCGATTCTTCCGAGTGAGTTTGATTATAATTGCCGACTATAGTTGATAATGTGGAGTTTTCAGAGGTGGCAAGGATCTCGCGGTGATGGAACATCCCTCTTTGGGGGTGTATGTGAAAGCCGCTACAGAAGTGGTAGTCCGATCGGAGGAGGATATTGAGCACATGTTAGAGTGTAGTCATTGTTGTGAGTGATGCCGCGGTAGTAGAGGGTCTTCGTGCAGATGGGTTGAAGCGGAGGGCTGAAGGAGCGACGAATATGAATGCTCATTCGTCGAGGAGCCACGCGGTATTCAGGATTAGAGTAGAAGTGAGTTGGTGTATCAGAGTGTGTGTGGATGTTCTCTGCCATCGGATCAGTGTAAACACCGCGGAGGGCCTACAGTGAGCTCAAGAGTGAATCTCATCGACTTGGCTGGTAGCGAGCGTCAGGCGAAGACGGGCACTTCGGGATTGCGACTCAAGTAACAGGGTAGTATAGCTGCTGTTGTTGACGACTAAAGGCATTCTCCTGAACTTGTTGATATATCGGATATATTTTCAATTCTCTTGATTGTCCATTGATAAGTGAAATGCTGAGGTAAATTTAATTTTTCGATAAAAAATTATTTTGATCTGGTGGTACTAAAGCTGGTAAGGTGAGTACTAGGCAATGAAGGAAGATGACATTCGAAGCATACGAATAGCAGGAGGGCTACAGCACTTGCGGGCACCACTCTTGATCGCTGTTATCCTGGCTCAGGGAGGCTGGAGCGATAAACCAGAGCTTGAGTGCTCTGGGTATGGTCATTAAGCAGTTGTCGGATGGGCAGAGTAAACGCAGTGGTAACTGGCGGCCGAAATAGGGATGGAGAAAGACTTCGTGTTTTGCAGAGTCGGCGGGCATGTCGTCGTCCTCCTCCTCATCGGCGACGTGGATTCCCTTCCGCTCCTCTAAGCTTACGTTCCTATTGAAGGACTCTCTTGTGGGCAACTCGAAGACCTTCATGATAGCGTGCATCAGTCCAGCAAGGTGAGGAGGAGTTATGGCTGTCAGTGTTGGAGTAGGAATATATGATTGCTTTCCTCAGCTGAGCTCAGGAGTTTCCTTACTAATTATAGGAGTTTATATACAAATTTGGGTAGGAGTGTTCAGAGATGAACACATATTTTCTCAAGATTTCATCAGAATTTTCATTTTTCTCACCGACCATGCGCGTATTTTCTCACTGGACGATCAGTTGGAGCTCATCAATCCATACCGGTGAAGGTATTATCACTTCTATATGGAGTTGGGTCTTTGCACAGCACTTCACATGTATTTCGGCGAGCGTTTTGACATTGTTAGCGAGGTCTGCTGCCCAACATTGCTGTTTTCAAGAATCGCAGTGCAATATCGCACAAGCTTTGTCCCCTCAAACCTTCCTAGCTGTATACGTTTTGCTTCTCCATCTTTTCCCAGAGGATTATTTACCTCTGGTCGAGCTATATAATAGTGCCACAGCAGTTTAGTATCACAGTGTTGTCTTAGCTCGGAAGCAGAAGAAACTTTATCAACGCTTCGCTTCGCCTCTTCTGTGAAGAAAATAAAAACAGTGGCCAAGGTTAATGTAGATCACAAGGACCAGCAGATCAGCAGTCTTCAGAATGAGGTGGATGATGAATACACAGTTGAGGCGCTTCACCAGCAGCAGGCTTGGTTTTAGATATCTGCCCTTCGCAGTCAACTCCAGTCTCAAAGCTTGAGTCGGAGTAGCTCTCAGATCGACATGCTTAGCATCGAGCTGGATGAGCGACAGCGTTTGGTGGAGGAGCTGAAGAAATCTTATGACACGCAGTTGGCGGCCTCCCAGGAGATTTTGAGGCTTAGGGAGGAAGCACTGGATGATATGGGACTGTCGTCGAAAGAGATCAATACGGCTTTCGGAGTGGCGCACGATACGCCGTATATGCTGAACATTTCTGAAGACCCTATGCTATCGGGGTGCCTATTATACTACTTGAAAACTAACGAGGTGAGCTGCTGTGCTCCTTCGTGGAGGGCTAGAAGTGAGTGCTAGGATACTACTATTGGGTCGGCGGACAGCAGCAACATCGTCCTACATGGCCTGGCGATACCGCAGCAGTTATGCATCATATCTAACATCAACGACAAAGTGTTGAAATTGTCGGTACCGGCAAGTGCTCTTGAGGCTGGAGGAAGGCTCATCATTAACGGCAAGGTATCATGTGGTGTAGAGAAGCGTTTCCCTGTTTGTGTATGCGTCTGTGTCAGGCTGTAGGAGTCGGTGATCCTCCACATGATTTGAAGCACCTCGATAGAGTTGTCTTTGGTCGAGCTCATATGATGCGTATAATGATACCTAAGCTGGCTGATACGACAGTCCAACAGGTTGGCTCTTCGAGACGTCGATCGTCGGTGAGTATTACAGCTTGTGTCGGACTTAGCAGTGGGTCTGTGTAGCTCATGCGGCCGCCAGTGGTGGAGGAGAAGGAGCATGAGGAGTATGCAGCTGACTTGGCCACCTTCGATGAGTCCAGCGAGGCCTATCAGGTGGTCTCTAACACTGGTCTGTGGTCGTCGTATCTTAGCTCAGGAGCTTCGTCACTACATCGAGGAGCTGAGGTTGAAGCTCTCGTCGGAGAAACTGGACAAGTTCCTTCAGGTGAGCTTGTTTGTACAGATGGGCGAAGTCGCGGACTGTTGTTAGGAGCAGTGTTGGAATATACGTTCGCTTTCTTCAGCCACGTTCGGGAGTTTGCTCAGTCATTTTCATACAAATTTGGGTGGAGTTGTAGAGAAATGAATAAGAATTTCCTCAGAATTTTCACAAAGCCACTCACACGTGCAGTTGACCATGTGCATATTTCCTCCCACACAGGCTGCGAGTGGTGCGACGACGCTTACAGCGCAGGTTGATAATCATTGAATATAAACATTACATCATATATAAGTTATATTTCATTTATTATTATTTTCATATTTTCTCGATTTAATATTGCGGAATATTTGATAATATTGTTTAATAATTTCATAGCATAAACTTTGAAGTACGTAAACCATGAAAAACCTCAACGCTGCCCGTACATATGAGGCTGTGTCCACGAGTGACGTCTCGTCTTGTTGATAGGTTTTAAAGGCAGCTTGCCCCTTGATCGACGAGGCCAACGACCTCTCTACAGAACTACGACCAAATCGACACTTCAAGTAGTGACATTGATGACAAAATGGGGTGCTTGGTGATTTCCTTGCTAGATTCGAGGCGGAGTTGATCTGGGATGTGTTCAACTCTGAAGGGGAAGATTTGATAGTTATACGATTGATGGAATACACGAAGGCTCCAGAGGAAGGCGGGGCTGATGAAAAGTTCCGCTCGAAGGTACGTCCTCACTTCCAGTGTGGTGGGGTGTAGGCGTAGTGATGCAGGTTTTGTATTACTGGGGTTTGAATAAGTTCATAGGGCGCCTTGAGCTCATGAGAGATCTTTATCATCAAGTCAGCATGGGGTACTTGAAAAAAGAAGGTGAGTCGTCTTTGGGGGGAAGGGTGTCGTTCGAAATAAGGGAGTTTCACTAGTTTTACGTGAAGTGGCGTAATACTGCATGTGAAATATACGGCGTATATGTTTTCGCGACCGATAACATAATTGTTTTCCGCGAAGTGAGATGTGAAATTTCTTGTCCACTAGTGTTTTTCGTGTCACCGGTGAAAGTCCGAGGAAAGGGTTCTTGGTACGTGTGTTGCCTCAGCGGTGCTGTCGGGAGAGTATTTCGAGACTAGTGAAGGAAAAGTACATGACCCATGGAGTGAGCCTAGTATTGCCGACATACAGTAGGGATAGTATCCACTGTTGCTATCGACTTGGACACTTTAGAGCCCAGCAGGAGTTTTCGAGTCGCCTCTCGCAGAAGCGAGATATCGATAAACTGCAGACAGCGATGGCTTCGGTCGTCAAAGCGGATGCTACGCAAACGGGGAGGAGGCAAACTCGGGTGAGGCGGAGCGATGAACTCGAACTTGTATGAGGCCCGTTGATCCAGAGGTCAGCCGCCCTGCAGTTTTCAATCGTCGTAGTGAAGTGTGAAGAATCGATTACTCCTTCCTCCTGTTGGGGTTCATATTGAACCGGCGTGTTCTCCTAGGTTCTGAGCAGTGTGACTGGTGACACCAAGCTCATACTGCAAGCTCCTGTATCGAGCAGTGTGGTTCCGTCGCCGAAGAGGAGACTGTCGGGTGGCTCTGAGTCACCGGGGAAGAAGCTTTCCTCGCCTAGTATCGTGGCGAAGGAGAGGCGAAGCGTAGCTGGTGGGACTGAAACTGTGCGGAAAGAAGACGTGAATGGGCTGATGCAAGCGGTAGGTTCTTTGATCGGCGTGCATAGTCATTGTTGGTATCCTAGCATTTCAATGAAGTGAAGAAGCTACTGGCGAACGCATTAGGGGAGATGAAGTCTAGGAAGGAGAGTGAGGCCTCTGTTGAGGAGTTCAGACGGAGGAATGAAGCTTTAGAGGAAGAGAATGGGAAACTCCTGCAGGTAACTTGTATCTGCCGACTGTCAACAGCTAGCCCAAGTGTGGGAAAATATGTGTTGGTGAAATTTGGGCAAGTGTTGGTAAAATCGTGTTGGTGTGGAGAAACTTCTACCTGAATTCGTGTGTAAACTCCCGAGCTCAACTGGAGGAAGGCGAACATATATCATCACTCTGGGAATCACTGTTTTTCGGCATTTCTCACTTGGTAACTCAATTTTCAGCAACTAGCAGAGCTGAAAGATTCCCAGAAGAATCAAGACGCCTTGCCGTCTCGTGCTGTGAGGACGCGGGTGCTGCCGAGTACCCCGTCAAGTCAGCCAGCAGTATTTACTCAATCAGCCCCACCTCTAACACCAATGTCACGTCCAGTCGCCTATACGAGAACACCTCTCAGTAGGTAGAGCTGTACGAGCATAAGCGTGTGCATCGCTGATAGGTCTGCCTTCGTCAGCAGTACCTCCACCTTTGAAGGCGCCTATTGCTCAATACAGTTTTGCTCACAAGTACCCTATTGGTGTCCAACCCGAACGCCTCAGCTCAGAAAGGGAGGTGAAGGACGGAAGAATACGTCGATGTTCCACATGTGTTGGAGTGTTGTAGGTGGCCGTGGTATCCTTTGGGCGTTTCCTTGATAGCCAGATGGGAGGTCCTTACACTGCATTTTCCACCTTTGATGTGCATGGGCGCAAACAGGTGAGTAGCTGAGATAACACGGGAGACCACGCTGATGCTGTTGGTATTGTCAGATTTCCCTGTCCGAGTTTGACTCTGGGCTCGCGACGTGGGCGTCGGCGTATCGAATCGCTGCTGGCCGAGATCGTTCACTACCGGCTACCACCTTTGGTTGTGAAACTGCCGTCTTGTTTGGCTACATCGACTGCCTCGAGAAGGGCGTCCTCACCATAGACGTACCTGGAGTCGTCGGGGATGCGACTCGACCTTCTGGTCTTTCCTTCAGGATTTCCTTTTCGCCAGTGCATGTGGCACCGCCCATGGCCGAGGCCTTCCTCTCCCGGAGAGCCCGATCAAGGTCTCGCGACTTGCGTCTTTGACAGTGAAGTTGTGATCATGCACCTGGCAAAGTGGTGTACCAATTCATGTCTGATGCATTCCGTCGTTCATCGCAATGTGCTCGCATTTGCGTTCAAGTAGTTGATGATTACACCAGCAGAATCCCTCGGTAAAACTGTGGAGCTAAGTCGAACATTATAGAGCGCAGGTGGTTCGGGTGAGCAAGGGCCGCCGAGCCATATCGATAGCCAATCGGAAACCTAGACTTCGACGATTGCGGTCTACAGGAGCTGGCTGATCTGCCCGTTGCTGAGCACATAGTAGATTCATTACGTCTCCTCCTGATCGACCTCCGGGTTAGGGAATTTCATTGATGGCATTAAGAATTCAGGTTCTAGATCTGACATAATTGATATATGTATGGGTCGCTACCATGAGAGTTGATTTCAAACAATGGCTAAGGCAGTGGAATTCGTACGTCGAGGCTCCCACCGGAGCGACGTGGATGAGGGATACTGCTTTTCGTGTAAGAATGCCTTGGACTCGGTAACGCGTCCTTGATTAAGGAACAGCTTTATCCTGGTTACCCTCCTAAAGTCCTTGCCGACCAACGATTTCCCTAATGTGAAATTCTCAGCGTGCTTACTTATCGACCTAAACTGAGGCGATTAGGTCTCCAGGCGCCTTTTAACCTTCTGCGGGCAATTTGTCTCGGCTGCGAATGATACCGTTCAGGAACGTTGTCCGAGTCGGTGAGTCACCGACGGTGAGCCAGTTGAGGTCAAACTCGTACCGTCTTTCTACGTCGAAGGTGTTGTTCGCGCCAATGGAAGAACAATCAAGTGCTTGTTATTCTGTCAATCATACGACAGTGCTTCATACTACACCAAGCTGTTGTATTATGCTGAGTTGGGCAAGAGGTGGAAAACAACCGTGGAAGTAACCTCAGCGAAATCTTCGAGAATTTATAGTTGAGAAGGATGTGCGGAAATTCCGCAGCGGAATCAGCCAACATGGGAAAACTTCTCCACTCGAATAGCCATCTGAGTACCGCTCTAACGACCCTACTTGTAATTGCGGAAACAAAACGGAATACTCGATAGAGCCACATGAATACTGTTCTCACAACCCTCTTTTATAGCTCAGGACGTCGAAGGGGACATCCTGTATTGTGCAACGTGGGCGGTACCCGAGCAGATAATCATCCGCAGCGGCGGGAAGCTAGAGGGCCTCGACGCTAGGCTTAAGTGAGTTCCTTAGCGGTATGATTGTGAGAAGGTGTGGTATCGCTTGACGTAGAATGTAGGGGGAATATGAGAATCTGGGAAATTGTCAATTCGGCTACTGTTTGGCGTAGTTTCTATTTTTATAAAATCACTAATATGGATTCATCGACGACAAGTGTTGTTTCTTCATTTCTTGAGGCTGCCTATGAGGGCGATATCAACCGCATGAAGGATCTATTGTCCAGCAACTCTGATCTGTCTGTTAATGTTCAAGACTATGATAAGAGGACTCCTCTTCATTTGGCTGCTGCTGGTGGTCATATGGATGCTATCATCTACCTGTTAGGTGAAGGAGCTCAGCTGAAGACTGATCGTTTCGGCATGCTTCCTATCCATGATGCCGTGGTGAACCAGCACAACGACATCAAGGAAGTGCTCAGTCAGCTCGACCTCAAGTGTGACGGTGGTGTGTGTTATCTCTCCCCTGAGAATGAGGAAGCTTTGAAGGAGCAGGTGAAGAACACTAACATCTCCCTGACCCCTGGGGATTTGGAAACTAAGATGACTCAGGTCTTCTCTATCATCATCAAGGAAGGTGTACTTGCTGCCGGCTCTCTTTGGCAAGAGATTGTTTACTACTTTGCTGAGCTCGGCCTTCACCCCAGCTACTTCAAGCACTTCACCAGTGCTCAGATTGCCAGGCACCTTCATTGCCTTATCGCTGCTAAGAAGGTTGCTGAGGCTACTCAGTCTGACTATATCCATTTCGAGATTGAGGATGCGGATTCGGCTTTCTATCTCACCACTATGGAGCCTGAGAAGGTCGCCATCACTGATGCCAAGGTTGCCGAGTACATCAACACTGCTCAGGATTGTGGGTTTTCTATCACCTTCCTCAAGTCTGAAAAGCCTCCCATGCCTGAAGGAAAGTTCCCTCTTGGCGTCTTTGTTGTTGGTAAACAACAGTTTGACTCCAGTGTCAAGTTCGAGGACATGATGGATGAGACCGATCTCCAGCTTGTGGCTACCCCTCGATTCCTTCAGGAGAGATCTGTTGAAGTACAGAAGCTTTACCAGACTCTCATTGACGAGACCATGGCTACTCGCAACACTGTTGTTAAGGTGTTCGATGCTCCTGCTAACTTGGCTCAGAAGTCCGGCGCCCAAGTGTTGCAGCTTGCTGCCTTCGATGTGGATCGTAAGGGAAGTGCTTACATCTCTGAGATCAACGAATGCTTCCGTTCCCATAATGTCGAGCCTAAGAGGTTCTATGTAGATTCCTTCGCCAATGGCGTTGTCACCTACACCTGTTTCTTCGACCCTACTT